GGTCTATATTGACTGATGACGTAAAGGTAGGATGTGTTCAACATCGATTCCTGATGCGATGAGTGAGAGAGTGAGTGATGGATGTTGGTTTATATTGACTGATGACGTAAAGGTAGGATGTGTCCAACATCGATTCCTGATGTGATGAGTGAGAGAGTGAGTGATGGATGTGGGTCTATATCGACTGATGACGTAAAGGTAGGATGTGTTCAACATCGACTCCTGATGTGATGAATGAGAGAGTAAGCGATGGATGTTGGTTTATATTGACTGATGACGTTAAGGTAGGATGTGTCTAACATTGATTCCTGATTAGTTGTATGTGTTGCACATCAAGACAGGGTAGAATCCTTTGTAGTTTAAGCCGTATTATATCAATGATTGAAGGAAGATACTTGATGGAGTTAAGTGTTTTATTTGACCAATATTACAAAAAGCAAAAGTCACGTGAAAAATATATACACAGTTACAGCAGTACCTGCTCGTGTTTCAATAGTATGAGCAATTTGTAAATGTGAACACTTCTGTGTATCCTTCAGAAGTATGTCCCTGTACCAGCTGTTGGATTGTTAGCACACCGCATGCTTCTCACAGCACTGAATCGGGTCATGTGATACACAGAAGCAAAGGACGTAAATGAAGGTTGTCAAATAACTGGAACTGTTACACAACGTGTCATGAAATACCAGCAACACCACGATGTTAGTCGCGTTATTACAGCACCAGGTCACTTTGTACAAAACATATGTTTGGTGGGACAACTTACATAGCGTGTAACGGGATATATACAATGTAACAGACTATACAATATAACACGTGATATACAATGTGACACAAGACATACAAAGTAACACTGGATATACAATTTAACACGTGATATACAATGTGACACAAGATATACAAAGTAACACTGGATATACAATTTAACACGTGATATACAATGTGACACAAGATATACAAAGTAACACTGGATATACAATTTAACACATGATGTACAATGTGACACAAGATATACAAAGTAGCACTGGATATACAATTTAACACGTGATATACAATGTGACACAAGACATAAAAAGTAACTGGATATACAATATGACACGTGATATACCATGTGACACAAGACATACACAGTAACACTGGATATACAATATGACACGTGATATACCATGTGACACAATATATACAAAGTAACACTGGATATACAATATAACACGTGATGTACAATGTGACACAAGATATACAAAGTAACCGTGGATATACAATATAACACGTGATATACAATGTGACACAATATATACAAAGTAACACTGGATATACAATTTAACACGTGATATACAATGTGACACAAGATATAAAAAGTAACTGGATATACAATATAACACGTGATATACAATGTGACACAAGATATACAATAGTAACACTGGATATACAATTTAACACGTGATATACAATGTGACACAAGATATACAAAGTAACACTGGATATACAATTTAACACGTGATATACAATGTGACACAAGACATAAAAAGTAACTGGATATACAATATAACACGTGATATACAATATGACACAAGATATGCAATAGTAACACTGGATATACAATTTAACACGTGATATACAATATGACACAAGACATACAAAGTAACACTGGATATACAATATAACACGTGATATACAATGTGACACAAGATATACAAAGTAACGCTGGATATACAATTAACTCGTGATATACAATGTAACAAAATATATACAAAATAAAGTGGGATGTATTCTTCTTGTCATGTGTGGACATGTACAGTCACCTCCACGTTTATCCAGGTGTATTATTCATGTGGGTTAAATTACAGGACTCCGTACTGGTTAGATACAGATACTGCCAACAGAGGAATCAAATATACTGAACAACAAAAGTTCCTGTGACACCAATATTTAAGTGTATTTATGAAACAAGTAAAGTTTGGTTTTCATTCTTGTAGTACATGTATGGAATCAAGTCAGAAAAACGCAGCTGCTACAGAAAAGCATGCATTCCATGCAAAAGTTGACTTTTATGCAAGCCCCATGCATTTCACAACCCAAGAATGGGTATACAAACGTGTGTTAACGGGGTTCCATATGCATTGTTTAGCATCGTACTGACAACAGCCACTCAGAAAAACAACAAACTTACGCACTTATTCAACATTACGAAATGCCACGTCTGAGAGCCTTTGATATTCTTGAAACAGGATCTAGTCAACGTAATGTTGCAATACAATTTAACGTCCACAGAAACACCATTTGGTGTTTATGGCAACTTTGGCAACAGACGAATGCAGTCAGAGACCATCCTCGGTGTGGCAGGCCACGCGTAACCAATACTCGACAAGACATCTGGATTCGAACAACACACCTACGAAATCGATTCTAGGCAGCAACAGTGACTACAAGAAGCATCCCTGGCCTTCGACGAATATCTTCACAAACCGTACGTCGCCGCCTCAGATGTGCAGGGATTGTCGCCAGAAGACCCGACAGACGTACCATTTTGACAGGAAACCACCGTCAAGCACGTCTTCAGTGGTGCAGACAGCGTTTACGCTGGATGGCCATGCAGTGGGGACAAGTTCTATTCACTGACGATTCTCGTTTTCACCTCAGCCACAGCGATGGACGGATTCGACTGTACCAACGTCGAGGTGAACGTTACGTCAATCATTGTGCCATGGAAGAAGATCGGTTCGGGGGCGGCAGCGTTATGGTATGGGGTGGGATTACAGCAAGACAGAGGACCCGTTTGATAGTGGTAGAGGGAAATCTCAATGAACAGCGCTACCGCGAGGAGATCATCGGCTCTATTGTTCTACCGTTTTTGCGTCGTCATGGTCCAGGTATTACCTTTCAACATGACAACGCCCGGCCTCATATTGCTCGACTTGTTCAGGATTCCATTCAACAAAACAACGTGAATGTCATTTCCCTTGCCGGCTTGCTCCCCTGATCTCTCACATGTGGGATGAGATGGATCGGCGCCTTCACCGTCAACCACCTGTTCCACAGACATTGTAGGAACTTCGAAACATCCTCAAGCAGATATGGACATATATCCCGCAGGACTTTGTGCGACGCCTGGTCCATTCCATGAGACGAAGGTGTGTTGGTTGCATCGCAACCAGAGGTGGACACACACGCTATTGATTTGTAAATTCACATTTTGGCATGTTCATGTTTTTATATGAAATCACGCGTTTTCTGAAGTCAGTATGGCAAATTAAACCATTTGAACACTTTCAGGAGTCTTTTATCTGTTTTAAACCGAAATTATTTCCGATTTAGTAAAAATCATAACTTTGCATTAAATCATATTCAATGTCACAGGAACTTTTGTTGTTCAGTATATATAACTTTGCGTTTCTTTTTTTTGAAGAGTGTATATTCCCCATCGAATCAGTCCATAGTACCGTAGCTCACCAAAGATGGCCACATGACACAAGTTGCTGTCAGCTTTGACATTTTAATATTTCCTTCATAAATACTGAGGACTTGAAACTAATACTAAATTCTATTGATTGCCCGAAAATAAGACTGCATCAAAAACAAAAGAAAACAGATGTTTTCTGAACCAGGACATCCATTTCCAGAGACAATAAGACCTAATAAAAATGCAAAGATGAATTCAAGGTAAACAATTTAAATAAAAATTAATATGTACGTAACACCACAAAAAAATCGGACATGCATTTTGAGAGAATTTAGATGCAGAGTCAAAGAACAAATATCAAAATATACTCACACGCAAAAGAAACGGAAGTGGCTTTAAGCAAATAGGTAACAAACACGTAACCATAAATTGATACGAGTTTTAGCATGTAGTGAAGCCTGATGGTGTTATCAATGTTTTTGGTTGCATTTTGGAAGCCCCGAGTAAAAAACGAATCGCCAAAACGCACCATTTCAATGAATATGTGGGTAGCATGCAACCATTTCTCGCGAAATCGAAAATGCACGACCTGTCACGAACTGTAGTGGGTATAAAACTATGGCCGATTCTTGGACCTACCACTCCTTGGTCAACAATGTCAAGCCCAACTCATATTCAGAGAAACCAGGCTATCGGGCGTTGGGAAGATGGAGAGTCTGTCCAAGATGTTGCCTGTCATTTCAACGTTACAATAACCACAATTTACCGTCTCCTGCATCGATACAATGCTACACGGACAACAAATGACCTTCCTCGGAGCGGTCGTCCTAGGGTCACCACACCTCGACAAGATCGGCAGATTACCCGTCAACACCAGCGACATCCGTTCCTAACTGCAAGTGAAAGTACTGGACAGACCATAGGAACACATAATCGACACATTAGCCGGGACACTGTGATCCGACGTCTCCGTTCCAACAATCTCAGATGTCGCCGACGAGCTTTCTGAATGTTGGTCAAGGTCGGGGACACGGCGTCACTGCTCAGCGGTATATAGACCAAGTGATCAGACCCCACATTGTTCCTTTTTTTGCACAACATCAACAACACATTTTCCAGAAGGACAACGCTCGTCCCAATGTTGCCAGAGCTACCATGGCTATTCTGCAACAACACAACATCCGTGTTCTACCTTGGCTAGCCCTCAGCCCTGATCTGAACCCCATCGAACACTTGTGGGATGAGGTTCAAAGGCGTCTGCACAATGTACGCCCAGTCCCTACAACTGCCGATGAACTACGCACAGCTGCTCTGGAAGTGTGCAGGAGGAATCCCTAGGGTCTTCACAAATCGTCTGATCCACTCAATGTACAGGAGATGTGTGGCAGTGATCAATTCTAATGGTGGTCACACCAGGTATTGACTGAACTTTTGGGTATTGACCCGAAACTGTGTAAGCCCTTAAGATTTAAAAATAAACATGTCATCTGCCTTTGAATCCATAAAACTGTCTTCAGTCAAATTTTTGGCAATCTTGCCCAATTATTATTTCTTCTCTTTACTGTTGAAAATAAATAACATGTATATTGCACACTCGACTTGCGTTTCTTTTCCTTGTGAGTATATATTTTATAACAAAAAAGGAACATATATGAGAGTCCCACTACTATCTACATATGTGTTGCGTCATATATCATACTTTACACAAACATGTATGGTCATAAATACACTTGATAAAATGTGGTTCCCCAGAGCAAAGTAAGGTGTCGCCGCTGTGAGACCATCCATGTTAAGTTTTGTCTTTTTGAGGAGTTGATGTTTACAGAACCTGTGGGACATTGGGGAGTATTATTGAGCAAGGTCGACATACAAAAGGTCAAATAATGGTCCAAACTTCAGATTCGCGGACAATCTTGACCACAAGAGGTTTTATTCATTATGGTCAGCATGGGGACCGGATGAAATCCCTTTGGACAAATTGTTGAGAACAAGCATGTCAAGTGTCAGGGCAGAGGTGGCTTTCAAGGAACAAATGGACACACTTCTCACACTGCGCCGAATTGCTTCAGAAACTTAACCAACGAATGGTTGCGTTGTTTTTCTGCGATATCAAGTGATGTTCCGGCACAACCTGCACTGTTGATGTCAACTATGTTATGAGAGACAATGTACTCTACAATCTCTACATTGCCTCCCTTACAAGCTGCAAGAAGGATGTTGTAACCATAAACATCCTCCACTGTCAGGTCACATCCTTTCCTCACAAGTAGGTCAAACACTGCCTTGTGTCCCTTCAACGCTGCCATCATCACTGGTGTTCTGCCCACACAGCCTGTACTGTTGATGTCAACTATGTTACGAGAGACAATGTACTCTACAATCTCTACATTGCCTCCACCACAAGCCTCGTGAAGGATGTTGTCATTGTTTTTATCCGTCACTGTCAGGTCACATCCTTTACTCACAAGTAGGTCAAACACAGCCTTGTCTCCCTTAAACGCTGCCAGCATCACTGGTGTTCTGCCCTCACAACCTGTACTGTTGATGTCAACTATGTTACAAGAGACAATGTACTCTACAATCTCTACATTGCCTCTCTTAAAAGCCACCTGAAGGATGTTTTCACCATTCACATCCTTCACTGTCAGGTCACATCCTTTACTTACAAGTAGGTCAAACACTGCCTTGTCTCCCGTCAACGCTGCCAGCATCACTGGTGTTCTGCCCTCACAACCTGTACTGTTGATGTCAACTATGTCACGAGAGACAATGTACTCTACAATCTCTACATTGCCTATCTTACAAGCCACGTGAAGGATGTTGTCACCATTCACCTTCTTCACTGTCAGGTCACATCCTTTCCTCACAAGTAGGTCAAACACTGCCTTGTGTCCCTTCAACGCTGCCATCATCACTGGTGTTCTGCCCAGAGAACCTGTACTGTTGATGTCAACTATGTTACGAGAGACAATGTACTCTACAATCTCTACATTGCCTCCCTTACAAGCCACGTGAAGGATGTTGTCACCATACTCATCCTTCACTGTCAGGTCACATCCTTTACTTACAAGTAGGTCAAACACTGCCTTGTGTCCCTTTAATACTGCCAGCATCACTGGTCTTCTGCCGAAATCACCTGTCCTGTTGATGTCAACTATGTTATGAGAGACAATGAACTCAACAATCTCTACATTGCCTCCATCACAAGCCTTATGAAGGATGTTGTCATCATCCTCATCCTTCACTGTCAGGTCACATCCTTTACTCACAAGTAGGTCAAACACTGCCTTGTGACCCGTCAATGCTGCCAGCATCACTGGTGTCTCTTGGGATATATTTCTACCATTGAAGTCGTCTTTGTCTTGTGCAACAATAGATTCTACTATATCTACATTGCCGCCTATGCAAGCGAAATGAAGGATGCTGTTTTGTTTGACATCCTTCACAGAGACATCACACCCTTTACTCATCAGAGCAAACATGTCAGCATCCCCTCTCTCTGCTGCCCACATCTGTGCTGTTTTCCCACGTTTGTCCTGTACAAAGTCAACTCGTTTCTTCACAGACAAAACACACTCAGCAAGCTGGAGATTCCCTGTCTGAGCAGCAACAAGTACCACATCATTCCCATCATAGTCCAGTCTGTGTACATCAGCTCCGACAACAATCAGGTGCTGACAGATGTCTGTGTGTCCACTGTATGCTGCCACCAACAGGGGTGTTCTCCTGTCTCTGTTCACAGCATTTATGTCAAACATCCCTGATGACAGGAGATGCTCCACTATAGCCTGGTTACCTCCCTTGGATGCCAGATGTAGCAGTGTGTTCGTGTCAGTGTCTACAACTGACAGATCTCCCCCTGTGTTCAACAATGTGTCAAAAATGTGTTTATGTCCTCTCTCTACACAATACGACACAGGTGTTTTATTATATCTGTCTGTCTTGTTTACATCCTGATATCCCACATCATGTACAATACCGAAGTGTCCCCCTTGACTGGCGTGGTGGAGAACTCCACGTGACTCTGTATCTTTTAATGACAAGTCACACTGTTTTTTAGTTAGAAACTCAAACATGATTCTGTGTCCTGCAACTGATGCTAACATCACTGGAGTCCTCCCGCTTGCATCCCCCGTATTGATGTCAACCTTGCCCTGTGACAGGAGGAACTCTGCCAGCTTCAGGTTCCCTGTTTCTGCTGCTGTGTGAAGCAGACTCTGACCACTCACATCCACAAGTAACATGCTCGATCCTTTCTCCTCTAAGTGTGATTTCAATTTTGAGATATAATGTTTCTTGTGTGTCATCATGAACCTATTCAGGCCATGTTCTCTTGCTCGTAGAAACTGTGACATGTTCAGCCAGTCACCAACATGTCCATAAGAGAGTGTCTCAGACATACTGAAGTCCCCAAGAGAGATGTGACAGTTCTGTGACAGAAGTAACTGAAACATGTCTCTGTTGCCTCTGCATGCTGCAATCATTAGAGGTGTCTTTCCATACTGACCTCTGTGGTTGATGTCTAACAGCTTACTGGACATCAGATGTTTGACTATCTGGACACTACCGCCCTGACATGCCAGATGTAGGATAGTATCACCGTTATCATCAACACCAGTCAGGTCACACTTCCCTTCATCTGCCAGATACTCATACAGCTGGCCATGACCTTTCAGTGCAGCCATCATGACAGGTGTTCTCAAGTCCTGTCCTGGCAGATTCTTCCAGTCCCCCATGTTGGGAAGCAGTAACTTAACAACATCTGTATATCCCCTCAAAGAGGCCAGATGGAGGGCAGAATTTCCGACTTTGTTCTTGATCAGACACTCTGCATCATCTTTCAGTAAGATGTTGACCATTTTGGCATTATTCCTGTCCACAGACATCATAAGAAGAGAGTTTCCATCATCATCTGTATAGTCTGGTGTATTTGTGATATCTCCCCTCTGTAGACCCAGCAGTTGCTGCCGTAGATACAGGAAGGACTTGGTGTCATTTAGTCTGATACAACAAGGTAGTTCTTCACTGACATGTACCTGTGACAGTTCCTGTTTCTGTAACACCTTCTGACACAGGTAATCATTGCCAGACTGTAGGACCCAGTACAAGAAGCTCCTTGAACCAGTGAAAGAACCAGCTGTATCCTGTAAATGTAGAACATCCACAAAACTGTCCCCGAGCTGTGTCAGGAACCTGTCTATGCTGTCCTCCCTGCTGAGAACTGGGTGACTGAATGTGTGTCTGAACTTCCCTCTCCTTGTGTCTTCTACCAGCTGTGTCAGAAACATGTCTGTGTTGTGTTGGGAGATGAAGATGGTTTTACCCGGTAAGTCAGTGAGAGATTGTTTGTTGTCAGTTTCATATAAAACTTTGCAGCGTTTCCATAGAGATCCAGGAAACATGCTGTCAACAACAAACACACAGGCGTCATATATGACAGGGTCTGTGAAACTAATATTGTTGCCAGACTGACATAGATAGGTGGCACACAATCTGTGTAACATCTCAGGAATATCATTTGTTTCTACTCCGGGAAAGAGAGACTCAAACTCATCATCACTCTCATCACTTCCATCACTTTCAAACTTATATCGATAGTTGTCTTTCACTTTGTTCCCTGAATCCAAAATATATATTATTGCAGACGAATAATCATCATTTCTAAACAATATTTCTATTTCTGTTCTGAAATGTGAGTGAGGATATGTGAAAAATGTTACAGGATCTGTGGTAGGTCTGTCTTGAGAGAAGTGTTTCATGACTTTGGGGAAACCGACATATGAAGAAAGGTTAGCTATGATGTCCTCCCGTGTGTCTGATGGAATGTCTGTCTGCATCTGCAGCATCTGGGAATATTCCTGCTTTGTTCTGTCCCAGTTCTGTCTTCCTATCTGGGTTATGTCCATCATTCGATTGAAACGCTTGAAGGCATCTCGTTGGCAGTTCGCGTATATAATAACAACACGAACAAGCTTGTTGGTATAAGTTTTCCTGCGTATCTTATCGACCAAGTTTAAACATCTGCGGCGCTCTCTCATTTCATCAATCACCAGCAGTGTAGGTTTAGTTGCCTTGAATACATCCATGTTGAAGTGGTCCCATCTGCTGCAGAAGACTGTGTTGTATCCTTGTTGCTGGTAGTCACAACACAGCATGTGTCCTATTGTGGTCTTACCTTCCCCAGGACCACCAGTCAGCATCACCAGGTTGTGTTGTTGTAGCTGGTCTCGGACTTCCTGGTAGGCAGCTGTCTTCACAAATAATCTCTCCCAATCTGAAACATATGGCAATATGTAACAGTTACGAGTATTAATTAAACATTCCACATCTAACACGCAGCATCAACTCTGGAAAATAAACAATTGTCCTTCAAAAGGGAAAGTGTATTGTTGAGGTTGAAGACACTCATTAACGCTACTGTTTGTAAATCAGATATTGAGAGTCAATTTCTACCTGTGAGTTTTCGTGATGGCCTTTGATGCTGGATCATCGTCCTGAATATGTCAACCATCTTCCCATCTCTGGAAGTCAAGGACCGATGTACAGACACATGAGCTGCAGTTTTGTGAAGTTGCTGGATCCTGGTCCGGAAGTTCCGAGAACTGCTGTATATATCTGGCGATATGACGCCATGCACGGCGTTAAAGTTGGTGCAAGCTCTGCTCCTGACAGCGACCGTCAGAGCCCGGGCCTGTGTGGAGTTGTAAAGAACAGCGTCAGGCTCACCTCTGGAAACAAACGTTAGGACGAGAACCACTCCGTCTGTTGTAAAGATGTAGGCGTCGCAAATGACGCTGTGTGGAGCTGGCATCTCCTCCTCTGGCTCCAGGAACGTCAGCGCAGGGGAGTTGATGTAGACGAAGTTTAAACCAGGTATAGATCTCACGGATGTGAAAATATCTGACTCTACATACAGCTCCACGTCTATTGGGTGAATAATGCAGTCTGAAACTGTAACACAGAAAATGCAATGAAAACATGCTGACTTTTTTCCCGAAGGGTAACTTCATTTACACCTGATTTCAGTTGTGCAATAAACACTGACAAGCTGTTGTAATACTAATTTAATAACCTTATCTATTGTCTAAAGCTGGCAACCACATGATACATCACTTGTGTCACCTAGGAGATATTGCTGTTATGACATTGCATCACAATGCATTGTGACGTCATTGATTGCCATGATCTCACAACGAAATGACATCACCAATCGTTCTGCTACTGAACTAGTTAGCTGTACTTTTTACACTAGTTACTACTGTCTACAAGCTGTAAAACATGGAAGCATGATTTTGTAAGTTAGTTTGTAAAATATCACCATCGTGACTTTTATCTCCTCGGCAAGACATTGAGGTTTAGCTGTTATCAACTTGAGTTCATATATTTGATATGAAAAGACACAAGGTTAACGTCCAATACATAACTGAATATCGTTGTTACCAATTCGCAGTATGAAAAATATATCAACTTTACTTACTAATGTCAGGTGTGTCAAATACTGCATAGGAAAAGTCCACATCTGGAAATGTAGCGAAGTCAGTGATGTCAGTGTAGGTTGTACATTACTGGTCACACAAGTAGGAATTGACATGAGTAATTGATAGTATATTATAAATTATCAATGCAAGAGAACAAACAGTCTATATTTTCCGCCAAAACATTTTGTTATGCATATAACTTATACAATTACTAAAAGTGTTGAATTTGATTTAAGCCTTGGATATTGTGGCGACGTTGGGGACATGTTGAATATGGGTCTTCTGCCTTTAAGAGGTTAATCCCACCACTCTTACAGGAGAAAAAAAATTGTTTATACCGTGATGATAGTTATACTTGTATTGCTGAAGTGAATTCAGTCTGAGTTATACCCCTACCATCAAAATCCAAATACTTGAGCCCTGGTGGTCTCTGTGGTCTGGTGAGGGAGTGTTGGACCTCTCCGTCAGAGCTGTAGGTACTGGACAAATCCGAGTCTTCACTCTCGTTGGATGACATTGTGACTTCTGTAGGAAAGCGCTCTTTGATGGAATCTTCTCCCAATAACACAAGACACACAGTGAAATCCTTTTGCTATATTCTCTTTTAAAAAATTGAAATCCAAGTGTCAAGCCAATCACTATGTTTTCAACTTAATGGCCAGTACCATGCATAACTAAATATATTTGCATAAAACTTTCATGAAATAAGAAACAGTCACTGTATTCACTGCACATCTTTTATCTGTGTGTTTAGTTTGTGTTCGCTCTCTGTCTCCACCTCATTGTTTGTATCCCTTTCCATGAAGGGAGCTGCCGGATTCTTCGTAGCCACTCGGTCCTTTCCATTCTGCATATACCATAATTCTGTATTTCATAAACTCTTGGCCCCTGTTTGTCATAGAAGACAATTCCTCCAAAGAACCTCACTGCTACTTCCAGTACAAACTTGTTCCCTGCGTCAGGGAGTCTATGGATTCCTATCTTGACCAGATCAGACGACGGGTCACCAAATTCACCAGTGAAAGATAACACACAAAGTTCCTCCTTTACCTTCCTGGACAGATCATCCTTAAGTTCTTTTGGATTATTTACCTGAAAACCGACAAAATGGGGTACTTTAGTCTTGTAACCATTCCTCTTGACCTCACTTTCCTCTACTCCAACATAATATGACCCTCCACCAGGAACTTTAGACATGGACGTTATATTGTCCTTGAGTTTAAGATCTTCCCAAATATACTGCACATGAGAGATGGCATTCTTTGGACAGAACAGTTTCAGTTCAACATTCTGAGATTCTTGGTACAGCTGCAGCTTGTCTTGATCAATTCCCTTTAAAGCAGGTGCTCCACGTGATGCCTCGTATCGAGAATGTGCCAGCAAGTAAACTAAATTAAATGTTGTCGGATTTGTGTTTTCAAAGTCATTGCATATCTTGGTGTTAACATTTGCCGTCGAAATTCCAAATGTGCAAGCTACATCTATCAATAAAACATCGTTAAAGTTTTCAAAGCCTGGTATCTCATGCAACCATGTAGTGTGATATGTGTCCACATAGGAAGATCCACACTCAATCAGGTCCTGTAGAGTTTTGTCCACAAACTCATGGAAGTACTCGAGATACCTGTCTCCCTCCTTCTGCCCGTGTAGGTGAACCAACAGATGTCCCCCGAGCGTGTTCCTGAGAGCTGACACTTTCTTCTCTATGTCCTGGAGGATCTTCTTCTTCCCCTTCTTGACCTCCTTATTCCTTCCTGGACCTGTGATGATGCTTCTGTCTGCGTGAACGATGAAGCTGTGTGGAGCAGTGCTGTACTGTTTATATTCATGTACAAGAGATGAGCAGGATTGACACATACCTGAAAAATTAAATAATATTCATAATGATAGTAACAAAAAACAAAAGTAAGACGAGTTCTGTGGATGAACAATTTCTTTATTACAATTAGTGCGACGTTTCTGTGTAGATCCTAACATCTTTATCAAACAAGTGATGGATAGTGCTTCTTCTTCTTCTTGCTTTGGAGATTTAACGTGCGCTTTCCGACTGATGCGTATTTCGCACACGGGCCCGGCCAGGCCATTTAATATGTTTCTGAAAGGGGCGAAAGTGGTGTGTGCAACCCAAGAGGGGGCTTTAGGTGTTGCTCATATAGAATTTGGTAATTTTGATTTGGAAGATTATAGTGTTTTTAGATGCGTTTTATTAGTTCCGTTTTGATTCAGAATACTCCTAAGGCCTTGATGTTTTCTAGTTTATTTTGTGGGTTCAGTATTGCTTCTAGAGTGAGAGCCTTGTTTAGATTGAGGGTGGTTTGTAATGCGGTTCGATGTGTTAGGTAGTGTGTGCAGTGGATGAGTGTGTGTTCTTGGGTTTCTAGTTGTTTGCAATGTGGGCAGTTACCTGTAGTAGTATAGGTAATGATGGTTCTGGACCACTTCCACTGGAGCCGGATTTATATACCTATACCACCACTACAGGGGGAATTTTTTATGCCAAAATGATTATGCGATTCAACGATAGTCATGAGTCGTATTAAAAGAAACATCAATATTAATTAATAATGAATAAATTTTACTATAGCCCACGAGGATATTGGAAAGGTGTAGGAGCAATAAAAAAATTAGCCACCGCGGCTTATGTATCTAAAGATGTGGCCAAGGATTGGTTAGAGAAACAAGCAATGTGGCAAATATATTTACCGGCACCCCGTTATATACCGAGGAAGAATTTGATATTTTTACAACGAATGAAGTTCATCAGGCTGACCTCTTGTTTCTTCCCAATGATAAGGTAAAACGCAAAACGTATAAATACGCTTTAACAGTAGTGGATGTGGCTAGTCGCTACAAAGAGGCTGAGCCATTAACCTCGAAAGATTCAACAGAATTAGCTAATGCACTGAGTCGCATATATAAAAGCGGGCCACTAAAATGGCCTAAGCTATTTCAAGTCTATCCCTGTCGCGAGTTTATGGGATCGATATCTAAACTGTGAACAAAGCACGATGTTAAAATCAGGTGTGGTGAAAAAGAGGCCCACCGTAATCAAGCTATCGTCGAAAGATTTAACAGGACATTAGCAGAAACGTTTTTTTGGCTAATTTAGTTTCGTCGAATCTAGACCAATCATCCATATATTCGTAAAGATATACACTTTTTCCCAGCAACAAATGACGAGTTATCTTATCGGTATATGGATTTGTTATCGCAAAGTCATCGGGATTGTTCGCATTAGCTAAATTGTCCAGGGAAGATAACAGAAACTGTACGGAGTCTATGAATCTAAGCGCATTATTTTGCTTTATTCTGTCTTTCCCATCCTTGTCCCTATAATGTATAGTTTTAGTCAACGAGAACAATATGTATTTTTCCATATTGTTAGGAATGCACGTTAAGCCACCGTCGGTCTTTGAGATGATGAGATGTGAATCGTATCCCCTCAGGTTATG